TTTTTTTTTTTTTTTTTGCTCCCCTGTGCACAGCCAAATGCTTTATTCCTCAGTGTTTTTTATGGTGCTAGCAAGCACCAGAGTTCATGTTCATCACGGCTTTGGGCCAAATGAAGCACAAAACTGCAGCTGTGTGAATTAAGGCACCCACGGAGCATCTATGCTGGCTGATAAACACAAACCTCAGTGTGGTGCTGCTCATCTAAAATGGTTTATTGAAGAAAAGAAACATTTAAATAGGCCACAGTTGTAGAATGTTAATCTGCCAAAGATAATAGTTACACTGCAGTGCGCTTATTTGTTACCATCAACAATGTAGTTGCAAATTTTGGGGCATGACAGACAATATAAAAGCAGGTTTTATAGTGGCTGTCACGTCCAACATTTTACAACTGTATTTGCCAGGGTATGAAATCTATGCTACCATGTGTGTAGAACAGGTGAATTTTTCAGTTCCCATAAAATTTCCCTTTTCTTAGCAAAACGGCAGTAAAAAGGGCCTTGCCGGAGAAGTTGCTGCTGTTGCCCTTCCACCCAGTTGTTTTGACAGCTGTGGGAGCTTCAAGAACAAATGTCTGGAGCAAAGAGAACAGTGTTTTTTAAAACTCCTTGATGCAGCTGAAGAACTGAGCAGGGGCTGGTACAATAGACCCAGGTACCCTGAAACCTTGTTAGTGTGCCCAGAGACCAGCACAGCGTGGTCCACTCCTGCCTAGGGCATCTTGGTGAAACTATAATAGAAAGTCATTTTCTAGAAGAGGTTTCAGGGGACAGGCTAAACACAGAGATCAGTAGGAACGTGGAAGCAACCAACTGCTTAATGGGATTTAAAATTTCAGCCGTCACCCAGATGAGCTGCAGGCTATTTGTTATAGCTACAAATGTCCAAACAGGGATTAACATCCCGTCTCTCTCTCTCTCTCTCTCTCTCTCTCTTTTTTTGTTTTTTTTTGGGGGGAGGGGGGGAGGGAGAGAGGGGGGAAGTTGAACTTTGCATCAAGTGTGCAGTGGCAATTTGGGGACTATGTATTGTCATGATATAGAAGTTTTTTAGGGGGAGATGACTTTTATCTGGGATCTTTTATGGCTAATTACCTTGCTGTAAGCCAAGTCATTTAGAGTTATGGTGATTCCTATCATGCTGGTATTTCACATTTTTAAATCTCTCTTGTTTCTAAGAGCTGCTTTCAGGAGAAACCTTCCATGAAACGGACTCGTTGAAGCAATGTTATCTTTGGTAGTAAGCGCCTACGTCGAATGCTGTTCCGGTAAAATCCTTCTGTAGTACACATTCCACTAGTAATGGTTCCTAGAGCCCAGACATACGTTTAAGTAGACTTAAAACGTGGCCTATTGCGCTGACTGAGCACTTGGCTGCCTAGGTCTGTCCCAATGGCCACACCATATAAACTAAGTCTCCACCATCTGTTCCACCCTCTATTACAGATTCAAAGAAAATACCACTTTATTTTATGATGCACTTGTGGTAGAAGGTGGAGGGAGGAGATCGGTGCTTGTGCATGCATTTTGCTTCGCAGCTGCTGTTCTGTTCTCCTGTTTCAGGCAGAGATGGGAGACAGAAAAGGAACTGCTATCCCTAATTTTAGTACATGCCTCCCCTGGTAAAGTGGAATTGACTGCAAGAGAGCTGCATCCCATGCAACAGTATTTTTCCCTGGTGTTGTGATCATCTGCCAAATGAGATGAAATAGAGTAATTAAAGACTGTGATAAAATAGTGTGGCTCCTGCTTTTCACCTGGAGAAGGAATGTGTCCGATTATGAGTGTGTGGTTGATTTTTAACGGTTGTGTAATAAAGGGAAAATTGATCCAATTAAAAGTGCATCACAAATGGCTCATCTGGTTATTAAAAACGCTTCATCTCCTCACACTTCCTTTGGTGGCAGATCTGTTTCCATGGCCAACAGGAATTAGACTTGCTAACACAGCATCAGCAAGATACCTCGTCTCATGCTGTCAGGATGTGGACAACAAAGCTGATCTCTTTGGCAGGCCAAGGGTAACTTTATCTTGTATTGTTCTCCCCATCTCATAAGCAAAATACTAGGGTTTCTCACGTTCATCCAAACTGGTAGTCCCTTTAGATTGGTATTCTACTTCCCTGCTGTGGCTGATACCTGATGCTTCAAAAGCAGACCATCTCCACTCCTCCATAACACATTTAGTTAAACTAGCTGGAATTGCATCTAAGTGATTAGAGACATAAAGTCTGGGTTATAATTCTAGGTTTGCCACTGAGCAGTGAACCACTGCTGGCCTTAGTTTAGCCTCCTGTGAAATCAGGATAATATTGCTATCTGACTCACAGGGGGTAGCATCAGGTTTAACTGATTATTGTGGATTAAATAGGCTAGCCTGATAAGTGCTAGTGGACAGAAGAAACATTAAGAATATTTTATTTGGGGAAACCACAAGAGAGCTAAGCAATGGCATTTAGGGTTAGAAGACATCAGCACCCTCAATGAGGATACATCCTCTAATTTCTCCATTACCCAGCATATGCAATTTTATATTGCCCAACATATGATGCGAGGCATCTCTTTCAGCAGCAATGAGCTGCTAGTTCGTAAAATATAAGAACATGACAGAGTGATTACTCTATTTACTGGCATTGCTAGATTTGGTACTGATCAGCCGTTTCATGAAAAGGCAGGATTTCTCTGGGTAGGTATAACCACTGTCTACATTTGTTATATGGAAATCAGCTTGTGAAGTTCGAGTTTGCGAATGTTTGTAAGTTGGGCTTTTTTTGAACCAAAGGAGCAGAATTACAAAAGTAAAAATAAATACAGATGCTGTTCAGCTCTTTCTTTGTGTAGCTTAAGTGATTTTTCTGGGTCATTACTCAGTGCAGGGATTTAAAGTTATTTCATTTTGCACAACTAATTACTGCACTTGCCTGGCAATTTTGGATTACAATGAACAGTGCATAAGGTCATTTAGCAGACTGATTCACAGCATATATTTTAGTCTAAATTTCACAGCAACTGGCTATATATTTTTTTCTTAGCTTGAACAAAATGTTACATATGTGGCTTTACAATATAGAGCATGGCAAAAACAGCATGCTGTAAAGTCTTAAAAGTAACAGAGTGCTAGTTTGCAGAAATAGTCTTCAAGCTAATAAGAAATTCTATACACTTTGATTGGTAACCGAGAAAGAAAAGCAAAGGGCAAAGGTAACATATCCTTCAATAGCCAGTTGCAGAAGTCACTTTGCTGGCTTTTTGAATGCACCCAATTGTGCCTAGGAACTGGAAGCTGTACAATGCATTTTACGTACTGATTTTCAGGGACCCACCTGATGCCAGGTTTGAAAGACGATAAAGGTGATGACCATAAGTTCAAAGTTGACAGGTTGGGAAAATTTGAGAGTCCCTATAGTAGCTGGGACCTGCTCTGGAGGTGCTCAGACAAGGGAGCTCTAGGTTTTTGCCATTTGCAGAAAAGGGGGTAAAAAGAACAAAATAGAATTATCCCAAGCCCGTGATCAGGGGCACTGGTCGTGTTTGACAGAGCAAACATAACTGCTCCTTTTCCAAGCACAGCAAGTCTGCAGTACTCGAGACCTCTCAGCAGCTTCAATTTCCCTGGCTATGGTGTTTGCAAGGGAAATGGACCATCTGATTCAGAGGCCTGGGAACATCTGAGTTTTAATCTGATGTTGTATGGCCTTGGGTGAGTCACTTAACCCCTCTGCCTCAAGTAAGCTCACCTCACGGGCGTGTTGAGAGCTTCAGTTACAGTGTGCACAGTGCTGTGAACAAAAGCTGTCGTTAAAGTGCTTCGCTGCAGGAGACCCTCTGCTATATTGCTGATAAGATAACCTCCCTGTTTTCGTCACAGGTGGTGACATTTTTAAATGCCCATTTATTTTCTGTGTCGTGCTTATCTTGCTGGAAACGAGCGTGTTGCAGAGATGGGTTGCCTGAGATGTCTGTCTGGCGTGTCAAATTTGGTTCCCAGAACAACTATTCCCATTCCCGCTATGGCTCCCATCTCTCCCCAGAAAGCCTGATCCAAAGCAAGCAGACTAATCATTTTGTGCTGAATCACTCAATCGGCAGCAGGTGCATTTGCTGTCTGAGTACTCCCCTCTTGAAGGATTCTCCCGTTTCCTCCTTTCTGTTTCCTGTGTGACAGTCGCTGAAATGCTACAGGAGGTGGCCTCGGGGCAGCACATTTGCCCCACCTGCCAAATGAAGATGTCTATAGAATTGGTGGGAATGTAATGCAGAGCATTAAACAGCCTCAACGTGGAGAGGACGGGTTTGGGTCCCGGTGAAATGGATCAACGGATGGGTCGATTTCAAGGTCTTGGCACAGGCCCCTCCGACGGGGTGGTGTTGCTAGGTAACATAGCCAAGGAGGCCCAGGAAGCAGAACCTTTCATCATTTTAAATGAACTAAAAGTAGGTTTGTTTTGTTTGCTCTCTGTCTAACTCATTTTCTGGAAGGAGATTGGGGAAAGGCAAACTTCAGTGCTTGCCTCAGCCCTAAAAGGAAAGAAACTTCTCCTCAAATTCCTCTTGTCCCCTACACAGGAACACTGGTGGCTTCAGCTTTTCCAAGGTTGGCAAGAAGAGGTTAAGGTGGCAGGAAGGCCAGGCTGCTCATACTGTCTTGCAATAGATTAGGAAAAGCTCTTCCCTTATCTCTGGGGTTGCCCTCCTGGTATCTGTCCCAAGCATAGTTCCCATCTCCAGCCCATCGAGGTGGATGTCATCTACCTGGACTTCAAGAAGGCCTTTGACACTGTTTCTCACCCCGTTCTTATAAAAAAAAAAAAAAACTAGGCACTGCAGCATTGATGCCTGCACAGTCAGATGGGTGGCAAATTGGCTAGATGGTCGCACCCAGGGTGGTGGTGGACGGGTTGTTTTCGACCTGGAGGGATGTGGGCAGTGGGGTCCCCAGGGCTCGGCCCCGGGGCCTGCACTGTTCAACATCTTTATCAGTGACTTGGAGGTGGGTGTGGAATGCATGCTGTCCAAATTCGCCGATCACACAAAGATGTGGGGAGAAGTGGGCACACTGGAGGGACAGAATACAACTAGATCTAGACAGGTTGCAGAGATAGGCAGATGAGAATAGGATGGGAATCATTGCAGACAGGTGCAAGGTGCTGCATCTAGGGAGAAGGAACCAGCAACACACCTATAGGCTGGGGAACACCCTTCTCAACAACACAGGGGCTGAAAGGGATCTTGGAGTCATTGTTGACTCCAGGATGGAAATGAGCCACCAATGAGAGGAAGTGGTCAGCAAGCCTAACCGCACCTTGTCATGCATCCACAGATGCATCTCAAGCAGGTCCAGGGAGCTGATCATCCCCCTCTATGCAGCACTGGTCAGGCCACAGCTGGAGTACTGCATCCAGTTCTGGGTGCCGCACTTCAGGAGGGATGTGGCTAGCATTGGGAGGGTCCAGAGGAGGGCCACTCGCATGGTCAGGGAGCAGCAGGCCAGGCCCTACAAAGATACACTAAGGGGCCTGAATCTATTCAGCCTCCACAAGAGAAAACTGAAAGGAGATCTGGTGGCCACCTATAAACTCACCCAGGGAGACCACCAGAAAACGGGTGAGACCCTGTTCCCCTGGGCACCATCTGGGATAACAAGGAATAACAGCCACAAATTGATTGAAAGCAGGTTCAGGCTTGATATCAGGATGCATTACTTTATGGTTAGGGCGGCCAGGCTCTGGAACGGGCCCCCAAGGGAGGTGGTGCTCTCCCTGGCCTTGAGGGTCTTCAAGAGGAGGTTGGATAGAGATCTGCCTGGGGTATTATGATCCCAGCACTCGTTCCTGCCCAGGGCGGGGGGTTGAACTTGATGATCTGCTCAGGTCCCTTCCGACTGAAACTATAAATGCACAGAGGATGAATTCAGTCTCTCCCTTCCCCTGTCTAATAATGAATACAGAGACCCGGCTGTTCATCTGCTCCAGCAAACACCTTACTCTTTCTGTCACCACCACAGGGAAGCGTTCATTTTGCATTTGTTAGGGATGGAGCAAAGGGGCTCTCCTGACTTTTGTATCATGCTTGACGCATCAAGAGCAAGAGGGGCAAACCTTGTATTGGCTCTCAGCAGAACTAGATCAGCATCTCTTCCATCTGGCTGAAGAAATCCATATGCAAACACCTACACGGATGAAGGCTAGTGGTTACTGTTGCCTTCTGCAGCCTGCTAGCATGGTATTCAAACCGTTCCAACATCGGCAACTGGCCAGGGTCTGGCCCAGCAATTTACAAGAAGCCGGACTGCCAGTGGTGCAGTTTCATGCTGGAGACGATGTTTTCAATTAGGACACAAATGCACAGATTGTACACTTTTTTTTTGGCGGGTACCTCTTCCTGAGGCCTCCAGATTGATATATGAAGTCAATTAAAATATTAAGATATTTTTATAGGAAGCAGCAAACCTGCTACAACACACATTTTTATAACTTGCTGGTGCTGGTCCAACTAGCTTGAAATATTCCTCCCGTTTCGTCAATTTAGTCTGTTACCAAACTGCAGTAGCACGGTGCCATTTGTATATTCAATAGACACGCTGCATATGTTGATTCTGTGCAAAGTTATGAAATGGGTTGGCTAGTGGGATGTGTGTGGTTGGCCAGAAATATTTCTGAATTGAGACGATACTCGGTACAACTGTCTGGGTTGGGGGTCTTAATTCACATTCTCCTCCTCATTTTTTTTCTTTAAGACTAATTGTTTGCACCATAGAGCTCCTTTCCTTCTGGCAACCCCTTAGGTAGGTGTAATATTAGTTTCCTGGATAGGGAAACTGAGGCACAGGGTGTTGCCAATGTTACAAAGCAAGTCAAAGGCAGAGCTGAGAACAGAACTGACCATCTCTCTTTGTGACTAATCAACCGTGCTCCCTCTGAGACCGAGGGAGAGGAGCCAGGCCCCTCCAGACTCCCAATCTTCTCTAACCCTTTAATGACAGAGCATCCCTAAACAAGTTTCAAGACTATGAACGCGCCAAATGCACAAAGTGATACAGACCATTGCAGAGAACTTCCTTTAGTCACCATTACTGTAATGTCAGAGCATTTCTCAATTTCAAATAGGTTTAATCTTACAACTTGGCAAGGAAGAGGTGCATCCTCATTTTACAGATGCAACTGAATTGCTGAGAGGCTAAAGTTCAGATCCTCAAAGATACTTAGGCACATAACCACCACTGTTTTTAGTAGGTCTTGGGCCTTAGTCACTTGACCCACATCACACAAAGTCATGGCAGCACAAGAAGTTGGACCGTGGTATCTCAAGCTCATGACCCATTCACTAGACCATCCCGTCTCTCCTCCTATCTGCAACTGAACTTCAACCTTGGAACTCACAAGACCCTGAGACACATAACCATGCAGCATATGTACGTATTTGTTTGCAAAGTGCACACGGTAGTATGGGACATATATTAAGAAGATACAGGTGAGACCTTATGTGCCAGATACAACACTGCAGAATAATAATAATAATAATAATAATAATAATAATAATACAAAACAGTTGAAGACATCTGGTCTTCTAACGGGAGCAGGGGAGATCACAACAGATTTAGGAGCAAGCAGTGGAACTAGGATACATATGGAAAGAGGATGCCTTCCACCTCTAGATGGAAGGAATAGCAACTGCTTTGCTTTATCACCCTTCCCCTCAAGCAGCTTCTAGAGACTGGGAGGAGGAAATAATGTCGTCTTTCTACAAAAGGGCTAAATCTCAGTGTCCTCTAGTTATACAAGGACACTATACTCTCCCTGCTGCTTTGGGGTCATAAGAGTACCAACAGCATGAGCTAGTGCTGGTGGAGGGATAGCTCAGGGGAGAAGCCTTAGGGATATGGTATATGAAAAAAGCAGCAGCAGAACTGTCAGTGCTGTGCAGCTGCAGACAGGGTGAAGGACGTTGGACACTACTCCTCCAAAAGCAGCTGCTTTGTGAGAGGGAGATTCCCTTGCCTCACCAGATTTGAAAAAAACAGATGACCTTGCCATCTGCCCAGCAAGGACCAGTAACGCACCTGTTTGGTGAGGGAGGCTACATGCTGCAGTGCACTAAGCACTTGGCTAGGAGTCAAGAGACTTGGTCTCTGACACTGCCCTGCTGTTTGACCTTGAGAAAGTCCATTCAAACCTCCGTTTTTGGTTCCTCATCCATAAAGCAGGGATGATACTACCCACTCATCTCTCTAAAATATGTGGAGGGCTGTGGATGGAAAATACTGTGCAAGGGCTATTATTATTGCATCAAAAATAGCTACAGCTATTATTTGTTTTAGTCAACAAATCTAGAGTCTTCCCTCAGTTACACCCTTCCACACCTAGTGGTGCTGCTCTTTCTCCAATTAAGCCGCTTTGGATTTGAACCAGCCCAGTGCTGAGCAGAATCCGGCTTGTGTGTATTTTGCACCAACCTGTTTGCAAAGGGATCCCGGGAAGCTGCTGCACAATGTGAATGATTAATAACATGGCATGTAGGTAAACAACACACCTCCACAATGTTTTTCCACTAAACAGGGACATTAAGATGGCAAGCTCCAATTTATCATTATTTAAAAATAAAACAAATGGTGCTTCATAAATATGCTCACAAGAATAGCTGTGCCTGGGTGCAAAAGGAAGATGGCAAAAGGCCACCAATGAGGTTCAAAAGTAGTACATTAGTATCCTCTTGATTGCAATAAATTAGACCAGTCACAGCAATGCACAAAAGGTAAAATGAGAGTGCTGTTGCCAGCTCCAGAATGATAAATCCTATGGTGTGTTTTCAGCATTCATACATACAACGTGGTCATATGCAATAGAAAAATATCAAGTCAAGGGGATATCTTTGGTTTCCGGGAGAAGAGAGATGAATTGGCACATGGAAGGCTACAGCGATAAGGGAGTTTTTATAAACATAACCTAATTGTATTACTTCAAAGTCCTGAAGTTTATTGCCCTGTTTAATGATGTGTCTCGTTATTTATAGTGTAGCACAATGAGTCTGCTATTGATTTAATACACTTCCTTAAAGACCGTCATTGTCACAAGCAATAAAACGAAGCCATTCTGAGACAGCTCAATTATGTCACATCTATATAAACTGACCCAAATCACCCATGTCATTTGGGGGCCACTGCAGCAGGGCAGGGAAGCAGATGATGAGGATTGTGGCATGCTCATCTCAAAGCAGGAATGGCAGCTCAGGCCTGCAGGCAACAGTGCAATGCACAGCTGCATGGGGAAGGAGCAAGAGGCAGCAGCAGGAATGGAGAAATTGCCTGACTCAGGAGCTCTTGCCCCTGGGCACATGCAGCAGGCTGGTGTCACTGGGCATTTGGTCAACAGGCCTCCTCTGATCTTTCCTGGTTACAGGCCCAGTCCAAAGTGTATGCAGTGCAGTGGCAAAATGGGCTGGGACGTGGGTCAGTAAAGCTGGGGTGCATTTCTTTTTCCAGCAGTGGGCACACTCAAGGCTGGGGCTGCTCCCCCCACTTACACTTACCTTTCTGATACTGGAGCCAAAGCTGCTGTTGTACCTTCTTGCTGGGGAAGTGGATGGTGCAGCTGAACTCCGATCCATACAGCGCCTCTGCGATGTAATGGGAGCCATACTGCTGAATGAAGGACAGCAGCTCCTCCCGACTGCTGTCTTTGTTGAGGATCTTGAGGACATTTGCAAATCCTAAAAGAATGAGTGTTTCATCAGTTGAGGCACTGGGTAGGGCAGGGCAGGGCAGCCCAGAAACTCCTTGCTCCAAATTCTGTGTTCCCTGAAGAGCTGCCAAATGCATTCCCTCTTCTACCATGATTTCTATGATCATTTGCTAAGCATGGCTATGTGCTATTTACCATGGGCTGCAACTCTGAGACCTTCCTGTGTCTTCCCCTTCCAAAGTGATTTTACAAATAAATTGCTAGTGAGAGTGCTGAAACACACACACACACACACACACACACACACAGACAGAGAGAGAGAGAGAGAGAGAGAGAGAGAGAGAGAGAGAGAGAGAGAGAGAGAGAGAACCTTTTTTTAGGATGCTAGGATTGAAATGAAAGCCTGCCATGTAGGGTTTGTCAGAGCTCCGTTTTGCAATTAGCACAGCCGGAGATGTCACCCTGCTGTAGGGATTCATTTCGTACAGCTCACAGAACGGAGCTGAATAGGCCCAAAGGACATATTCTGGGCAGCTTATTTTTAGAAAAGCTGAGCACATCCCTTAGTAACCTGAACGGGTGGGTAATAAACTGGACACAGAAGATTAGAACTGTGGGTCCCATCAACTTTTCAGTTGCCCAGTAGTCTCAGATGAAAGCGAGTGACCCTAAAGCAGGGGTTACATCTCTCAGGATTTTCACAAGAGGCTTCCACAACAAGTACCCCACCATATTTCCTGGTGCTGGCTAAGTAGGAGGGCACTGCCACAATGTGGACATGGTGCATCATAAACATGTGCCTTAACAAAGGCACAGGATCCTTAACTCAAGTGCCCCATCCCCTTGCACAGAGGTCTGGGGCAGGGCTATCCAGGGGCAGGTGGCAGATAGGATGGGAGAATGCTTCTGAAGAAGGTGGGCTTCTTAGGCAGGGATCATAGGACTTCATCCTGGGGAGGTTTTCTGGTTTTAGGCATTCCCCCAGGAGGAAAAGTCTCTGTTGACTGAATCTACATTTTGTTTCTATTGAGTTCGTCCACCATGTTTGTGGGGTTATTGCCACGAGGCAGGGTTGTGAGGGAGCATGACAGCAAAGGCAACTTGCGGCAGGTAAGATTTCTGAACAGAATGACGCTGACCTCTGGGAAAGATCCAAACTGATAAACCCAGGTGGACCTAGGCCAGTCTCTTCAGGCTCCCATCCAGCACAGACCCTCCAAGCAACCAGAAGCCTAGCACATCTCTGACGTTCACCTCCTCAGGGACCTGGGTTTCCCACTATTCTGAGGTGCACAGAATAAGCAGATGTGCCTGGGGCAAGCTTTGGGGGTTATGATCATCCTGCCAAGCCCATGCTATTCTCTTACTGAGCAAGGAGGGACAACTCTGAATATATTCAGAGAGAAAGGGCATCGCTGAGTGAAGGGAAACCATACACTGCAAGTTCAAGGTAGGAGCTGAGAAGAAAATATACCCCATGAAGCCAGGCTTTGTTCCCTTATGTTCCACTGCTGTCACTAGGGCCAAGCCACTGAGGCCAAAGTTACTATGTTAGATTTAAAGCCAACAGGAGCAAACAGGTGCTCAGCACCTCTCAGAAACTGGGTCATTCATTCAGGTGTCTATGCACACACTTCGGTGCTTTCCTCTTCACACTTTTGGCTTCCCGATCGAGGCTTCTCCTATGTGTGCAGAATGGGAGTGTATTTATCCTACAACTCTTAATGGCTTTGCATTCCTTGGTTGTAGATCTCTGTGTGCAGGCAGTGGTATTTAAAGCTCAATGAATAATTAATATTTTGGCTCAGTGGCCAAAACTAAAATCAAAGAAAACCACCCCTCTGCTCCCTCCTCAACAAAAGGAAACTGCAGGGGGGGAGACAGAAAAGCCAGTTCAGACTAAATCAAAACAGACATGTTTTTAGCCAAAGTTTTTTCCCGTTTTGTTTCGGTAAACCAAAAAAGCCAAAACATCTCCTTTTGGACTGAGCCCAAACCTCTGTCTTGAGCCCAAATGAAATGTTTTGTTTCTTCTTCAAGTTATTTAGGTCATTATTTTAATTAATTTGTTTATTTATTTTTAAGTTAGCCCAATTTTTAGTGAGCAAATCTTTTTATTGAAGAGGGGGAAATCAAGCTGCACTTTTCTCTTTTGGCATTTTCCCCATTTCCAAAGCAAAACATTTTTATTTAAAAAAACGTTGAGATAACAAGTTTCAATATTTTCACATCTCCCCAATGCACGTTTTCCAATTAAACCTCTTTTCTGCCTTGGTGCCCCGCCCCCTTGAAAAAAAAAAGAAAGAAAAAGAAAGAAGAGAAAGGTCACCGAATTTTGACACTATCATTTTATTACGCTAATTATGTCTGTCTTCTAGTGTGACCTTGAATGAATTGTAGTTTCCCATATGTAAAATGAGAGAAACCTCTCTTTGCCTCACCAAGAAGGTTGTGAGCATTAGATACTGCCTCTATGGAGTCAGGAAATGGAAGAGTGCTGGCTGCTGGCTGCATGCTTGGTATAGCTGTGTGCTTATGAGAATGGGTAGCGACAGGTGATGTGGCCCAGAAGCCACAGACCTAATGCCCTTCCCCAAACACATGCCCCCACGTGCACATGCCCACCCACAGTCCTCTCAGCTAGAAACGTAATGATAATCCAGGGAGCTCTCACCTGCAGAGAGGGTGATGGAACTGAGCTTCACTTTGTACAGGTTGCTTCTGACCCTCCAGTGCTGCACCATTGGGTAGCCCATTGCCTCATCGTACTTGATGTCTCCTGGAAAGGAAAGCTGGCACTTAGAGCAGAGGGAGTGGACTGGGAGGCAGTCTGGGAAGTGTTACTTTCATGCTGATTGGTTTCTTCGCTACATGCTTCAGGGCTACGAACACAATGATAACAGAGATCATAACCTCAGACACATCGCACCGTGGGAGTCCTACTAGTATTGACAGGGATGATAGGTAAAAGCTGTAGCTGGTACAAGCAGGGCAGGGCTCAAAGGGAGCTCATGCTGTTAGAGAAGTGCAAGTTGACATTGAATGGGCACTGCTGGGAGAAAGCTCACAGTGACACCTTTCAGACTGATATAGCAACGGTGGCTGTGGGCTGGAGGATGCAGGGAAGGTATCTGAGCCTGGGGAGATCAGGGCTGCTGGGAAAAGCAGAGGAGATATTTGCACACAGAGGCTGGGTATAGGACAAAGAAGAGGAGAGGAGGATTTGCTTCTGAGCATGCACTTCGAATGACTGAAAGCTCCCTGGACAGCAAACGAGAGAGGGTCCTGTTCTCTCAGGTACGGCTGCGAGAAGGGTCTCAAGACAGCTGGCAAAGCCTAGGTGCTCTCGGTTTGCTTGGGAACGAAACCCAGGCAAGATGGCTGCAGCAGCAGAGGGGAGAGGGCTCATACCAGTGAGCAGCTGGAGGTCCGGCAGGGGCTCAGACAGGACGCCACGGCACTGTTCTTCCACAGGCAGCGGGATCACCATCAGGCCGTCTGCCAGCTGGGGGAAGTCTTTGATGAAGTTATTTTCCCTGAAGAGAGAAAAAGGAAAATTCCAAAGCAAAGATGGAGGCAACCTCCTGGCAGCAGGGCAAAGAGGACTGGCTGGTAGGGACACTGAGATGGGGCTGCTCACACGTGATGGGAGTAGAGGGATAGATGTGTGTCGGTGTGTGTAATATCCCAGGCCTGCTACTCAGGACAAAGCTGTGTGAGGCTGCATGCACAGAATCAAACTCTTGATTTCAGCGTCAGCTGTGGGATAGGCTCTTTAGTCCTTCCTCAACCCTTCTAGGCAGACCCTTTCCTCTGGACTTCAAAGAAGTGAGCCCACACCAGTGACCACAATGGTCAGCGACCACAATGGGTGCTGCTGAGGCCCACACACCATCTAGAGCAGTGGGCGCCAACCTTTTTGGTAGGCATGTCACAAACTTGCCTTACACCCATCCTGATATCCTTCCGCATCTGCTGCTGCTTCCCCTATACCCTCTGCTTAATCTGTTGCTCTGCTTCCCGCCTTACCTGCCACTGTGCTGCCTTTCCCCTTCCTGACTGATGGTGCTCTACAAAGAGGCTTCCCATGCCGCTTGTGGCACACATCTAACCATTCGGCAGCCCCTGGTCTGGAGGCCCTCTTTGCAGGGCCAGTGCTGCTGAGACTGGCTGCCATGGTGTCAGTACACAGGGAGCATAGGGCCTTGAGTCTGAATCATGGTGACATCCTGAACCAGCATGATGGAAAGATGAAACAGCATAGTCTAATACAGGCACATGTGGGCATGCTCAGAAGCTTCACACAGAGCTGTAGCCTACAGGAGAGGAAGATCTTAATGAAGGGTGGAGCCAGCCCAGAAGTCACAAGAAGATATTCTGTTCTGATGCTGTTTTTAGACCCCTGTGCCTGGCCCCTCCCTTCTTGCCAGTCCAAGCTCTGCAGGACTCGGTGGTTTGGTGAGGAACAAGTAGAAGGGCATGCCTCTCTCCCACAAGCCCCATCCTCCAAGCTTCCACCTTTCCATGCCCCTAATTGATCTTGGAGAGTGTGGTCTGTATGCATTTGTTCAACAAGCCCATCAACCAGCTCTGATGACTGGCCCATCACTCCTCCGTAGGAGCCATTGCCCCCTGCTTCTGCAGCTCTCACAGCTCTTTGCTGGGCCTGGTATCTCAGAGCTCTGCATCATGCAGCTGCAGGCCAGCCCCAGAAGTGCCACGGTTAGTTGTTCTTTGCTGTTCCTTTCTCACCCCTGAAGTGTCAGAAGTGGGTCTGGCGCTCACAGGCAGCAGAGGAGCCTTCAGAGAGCCTGAGCCTGGAGCGAAGGCTGTCGTCAGCCACGTCCTGGAATGACTGCAGACTGATCCCGGCAGACAGAGGCGGCTTTGAGATCTGAATCTGTAGCGCGTGCTGCCATTCATTTTCAAACCTAGATTCCCCACCCAAGGAAGGCGAGCTGCTAATTAGCTCCCTGGAGGGCTGTTTCATTGTTATCTTTCTTAGCTTTCCAGCAGCGGAGATGACAGAAAAACTCGACTGTCAGACCAGGGGAGCATATGCCAGGTCCAATCTGGATTATCAACTGTGCCACAGCAATGTGAGGCATCAGACAGCGGATGGGTATGAGGACGCCACTCCCCTGAACCGTCCTTGCTCCTGGTGCCACCCACACAAATGTTCAGTCCCTAAAAAAGGCCTTATAGTGGGCCCCTGTCCCTAACGGATACCCACAGACCTCTTTGCAGCTACCAGAGTTAGGATTGTGGCTGTTTTTAACTATTTCTGTATTCAAAATGAGAACAATGTACCCACAACATTGGTCTAAGGTAGGAGGAAAAAAAATAATAGCATTTTTATGTTAAAGTCATTTGTCACCCCATTAGTCACATCCCATCAGCCTGGCCAGGACAACACCCCTGGGTACTTGCCCTCTACCAGGGGAACCTCTGCTTGTTCCACCAGTCACATCCTCTTTCGAATTAGAAACTGTTACAAAGGCCCAAATCAATCCCTGGTGCAGCTCCACTACTTCCACTGCTTACATCCAGGAGACTTTTGGCCCAACATGTCTCTCAAGTTCTGCTGAGCGAGGCAGAGCACAGGGAGAAGTGATAATGAAGTGTGATGTACATGCCCTCAGTGCCTCTGCAGACAGGTTAGGCTCTCCCACCAGCACTCCCGATTTCTTAACTCCCACTCTTCTCTTCATGCTCCATATTACCTCCTCCAGCCCAAGGTTACCCAGCTCTGCAGAACTGATATCCCTTGCTCCCCTTCTGCAAACTCCTGCCCTGCTCCCTCAAACAGTGTTTCAGCCAGCTCGGAGGCAAGATGCCGGCTCACGCCTGAAAAGGAAGGGATGCTTTTCCCAACATGGAAGGTCCCACACACCACTTCACCCCTCTTGAATGCAAACCTTACTGTTGACACTGAGGAGCTTGTACAACTCCTATTAGCACCATATTCAGGCCCCACCATCTGTCTTTCATGGAAGGCCACGATAAAGGTCTCTGTTTCTGTTGCTAGAGCCAGGCTCATTTTCTTCATAGGACATGTATTTAAGTAGTGCTTTGATCCCATGCATGCTTTCATCTGCAAATGGCTAGAAAGTTCAATGTTCCTGCATGCTTGGAAATCCATCCCCACCACCCCCCCACCCCGCCGCTACTACTTCCCTCCCTACAGCACTGTCTGCTCCACCTTTGCTCCCCTGACCTCTCCCCTCCCTCTGCAGCCCACTCACAAGTTGATGCCCCACGCTCCAGGTGCTGGATACCTCTGTCCTCACATGCAACATAAGCTCCTTTGACTGCCTTACCTGGATCATAACCAGTTGAGAGACCATGACCTTTTTTGCTTTTAATGTCCTTTTAGACGCACTAGAGTGTACAACATGTGCCTCTTCTGCCTGCTCTGCCCACGACACTCCCCTTCTGTGCTGTTTCCCTTGAGATAAGCCTAGGGGAAGCTGCCAGCTGACCTCCCTATGCCCTAGCTCCCCAGCTGCTTCAGATCCTTGCCTGAAGGGCTAGACTCCCCTCAGCTTTCACTGCTGGATCTTTCTCCCCTCCTTATTTAACTCTGTGAGATGCTTTGGGAGACGGTTCATACGAGCGATGCTCCATCAAATAAACTCACATTGATCTGTATACAGAAGGATAGGGGAAATGACCACAACTTCATTGATCTGTATACAGGGGGAGAGGGGAGGAAAGAAAGAGGTCATAGTCCCATTACAGCAAGGCAAGGGATGGAGCCCAGGCCTCTCTCTGCATCTGACTGGCTAATAACAACTAGGATACATGCTCTATGCCTTTAATACCCCAAACATCTTCTGCTCCCACTGGGTTAGTTTGTCACAGCACTGCTGAGCCACCTACAAGGCCCGGCTATAGAGCATAACGTGGTAGCCCTCCCATTCATGTTTCATGCAGACAGAAAGTGCACAGGGAAGCAGACCGGGCCAGGCTAGAAAAGCTCTTTTTGGGGGAGGAGGGTGCTTTTGCTTCCCAAGGACAGGGTGCTGCTAGCCAGCCAGTGCTGTCCTAGAAACCCATCTCCTGCTGACTCCACACTTGCTCAGCCTTCTGGAAAACTACAGCTGCGAGGAGGGAGATTTATGCCCTATCTGATGGATGTTACTGGAAAGCACGTGCTGCCTGGGGGGTACATCTATAAGGCATGCCATTGCAGCGGCAAGCACAAGCTGCCTCTCCAGAAGACCTACAACACTAACCACCCCACTCAGGGCCACGCTTTCAGTGGAGCTCAGTGCCCAAACTGCACCATACTGAGCCCTTTGGAAAACCCAGCTACTTGCTTTGGTGCCCTGTGATGGGACCAAGAGGCCTTCAGGCCTAGTTTTTGACCTTTGTGCTTAGCTTAAGCTGTGTGCTGAGCTTGAATTGTGGTTGAGATTTGCACCCAGTGAAAAGGAGCAGGTGGAAAAAATACTGTTTCTGACTTAAAACAAATTGGGAAGTTGGCTAAATAAATAAATATAGTCTGGGCAAAAGAGGAACAGTCAGAACAAAACCTGCCCCCACCGAAAAATGAAAAGATTACCTCAGAATAGAAAAGTCCGGTTAAGGGTAGCTATATTTGGCAAATAGAAGTAAAATTATTAATATGCATTAGGAGGAAGGCTTAAGCTAATGTTATATATTAAGAAATGCAAGCTATATATGGTATATAAAGAGAAGTGAGAGAGCGTACGCTTTGGATCCTACTCCTGAAGGATCCGGTCACCGATCCCAGATTCAGAAGTCAGGCAAAGGAGTTGGGAACCTGGGACAAGACTTCACGGCCTGATCAACCAGTGACGTCGGGCTCATTGTATCATGGGGTGATGAGCACGTTGTACTGCTTTTGACTAACTACAGTAATATAATTGTAACTGTTAGGGGCTAAATAAATGTGCTAGTGGTTAAGGAGTAACTGTGTCCTAGTCTTGGAATTAATACCTGGTACAAGGCTCAAAATAACATTACTGGACATAACATCCGACAGGAGCTGAACTGATCTGACACCTGGCATGTACTGTGAGCACTGAGGCCTTGGGAGAAGCTGTCATTCAGGAGACCCTTGGCAAGCTATGCCCAATATACAGGCCTCGTGCACAGCATAAGGACAAGATACAGGGACCCCGATGGTGTTTCTCTTTAGAGGCTGGGGCTGAGCCTGGGGCTGGCTCCATTGTGCAAGCAGGGCAGGGAAGTGCAGGCCAGGAGTGAGAAGAACAAAGGGCTCTGTACAATGGAGACAGGACCAACTGGGGGCTGGGGCTCCTGGCTGCTTATTTAAGGGCAACTGGTATTCTCTGTACAGTGGTGTATAACAAAGGCACGGGCATCTCATTGCATCTTACAGGTTTTACTGCAGGCTGCAATAACAACAAAGGATGTTTTATTTGTCCGAGGGGAAAAAATCTTTCTTGCACACATACACTCACAAATCTAATATTGATCACACGCCACTCTGGATCCCCGGTGGCGGGTGGTGAATGGGTGATTTGCTGTTCTGAGCCCTCAGCCT